ACAGAGAAAATACTAAGAAATCTCTAGGAGCCCCTAGAACTTGTATTTGAATTTAGCAGGATTAGAAAAAACAAGGTATATATAAAAATTCAGGTTTATGTATACTTGCTATATATGAAGGATTGGAAATTTGAAAGTTATGTAGGAGTACAAAGGACCTAGAAAAGTAAAAAAAAAAAAAAAGTGTTGGAAGATATTTATTACCTAATTTTAAAACTTCCTCTACAGCTGCAGTAATCAAGGCAATGTTGGCATAAGGAAAGACATATAGATCAATGGAATGAAACAGAGAATCTAGAAGTAGAACCACACATATATGGTCTACTGAGTTTTGAATGATTATTTAACATTAACATTTTATAGAACATAAACTCAGTTCAAGAGCAGTGGAAAAGCTAGTGTTTTCAGCCAATGGTACTAGAACACCTAGTATCTGTATGTAAAAAATTAACCTTAACCCTTTATTTCTATACATAAAAATAACTTGAAAGGATCTATGAACAATATGAAAGACTAAACCTATAAAACTTTAAGAAGAAATTATAAGGAAAAATGTTCATGAATTTAGGGTAGGCAAGAATTTCCTAGGATACACAAAACATGATGCAAAAAAGAAATAAATTGATAAATGAGATTCCATCAAAATTTAAAGCTTTAAATGTCATCGTTAAGAAAATGAAGTGTCCTTAAACAGACTGTATTTATAATACGCATAACCTAAGCCCAGAATATATATAGAACTCTTACAGCTCATTAATAGACAACCCAATTAAAAAGTAGACATAAGAAGATGATAAATAGCCCATACAGATATGTATTGACTTATCATTGTCATGACTTTTTTTTTTTGTTGGATTCTCCCCCTTTGTGTTTAATTTCTTGTCACACCCAACGGATTAATTCTGCTGGGCTTCCTGGGGTTGTGATCCTCATTGTCTTTTCCTAGGATATTGTCTAAAAACTTTGGAGTGCTGGTCGGGTATTCATGAAGTTCTTAAGGTGCTCTTTGTCATGAAAGTATCTTATTTCACCATCAATTTTGAAAGATAATTTTGCAGGGTGCATCCATCTGGGTTAGAGGCTGTTTTCCTTTAGGGTTTGAAATACATCACTCCAAGCTCTTCTTGCCTTGAGGGTTTGCGTTGAGAAGTCCGCTGTGATGCTAATGGGCTTTCCTTTATATGTGATTTGTTTTTTTTTCTCTAACTGCTTGTAGAATTTTGTTCTTCTGTTG